TGTACTGCACACTGCAGACACGGGTAACTAACACAAAATGTATCTTTATGTGGGAAATATTAAATATGAACATATATCTGGGATTATTAGCAGAAATTGTATACCTTGCGTTATCTTGACAGCATAACATCTTGGAAATAGCATTTCATGGTGTTTAAGTCCATTCACAATAAGCGATATTTAGCCAGCGAATCGTTTAAATTAAGTTACTGTAATAAAAACACATAACATAATTACATAACCAAGGTGAATATGTATGTTGTATGTACATACCTAAAAAACATAAATCTGTATTCAGATTTCAGAATGAACACTGACATTTGCCATAGTCCTGTATGCAACTTGCTCACACTTTTAATAAGCAGGGACATTACGTGCTTAGGACGTTAAATAACAATTCACATGCTGACGTTTGTGTTGTGAGAATGTACAGGGACAGGATCTGCGCCAGGACCCATGAAGTGTAGATGTAGAATTTTCATTTTGTTTTTAAACTCTGACCAATGACGGTTCACACAACTTGACTTTCTGTTGTTATCAGCGGGATGTTTCATAAGTTTCATTATCCTGATCAGTTCTTTCATTAGCGCTGTTCTCCTATAATACAACATGTAGCCTGGAGCATCAACTTTTGACATTTTAAAAAGAACGTGTTTAAGCGTGTGTGCTTGTGAAATCGCCTGATAGATACGAGTAAGGAATATTGTGTTCCAGATGAGCACAGTCATACATCCGGATATGTGACAAAGACATTACGCACACGTTTTACAGTACTCTCTGCAAGAGCTTCTACTGTAGGTCCTTGTGATGTTCTGGATGAAAGACAACCACATTCACACTCTCACTTAAGTCAAAGTTGAAAGACAGACCACATCACCACAGTGACTCAGCTGTGTTCTCCTATGAATCAGTGTAGACTAGGGGTGTGCAATATCGACAAAAGATTTTTTTCTGTGATTATGTTGATGATAATAATTACGCAGTTTTTCTGAGTGTGTTGATCTGATGTCGGTACCTTTACTGGTTTAGGCCTGTCGTGGACAAGTTTCTTATATTCTTCATGTTCTGTCCAGTGATTAGTTCACAGCAGTGACCGAAATTAAGGTTTTCCTTACCGATAATATTGTGAAATATACATAATCCATTTTTTTTTTGCACTGGAGAAATAGCACAGAAGCCGCATCAAAAAAAACACAAAAAAATTATGAAATGATATGTAAACCGCCAGGAGCTGGTAGGCAAGTCACACTCTGTGTCCAAAATTGAAAACCTCCCTACTACAGTATATAGTAAATGAAAAACAGTACGCCAAAAGAGTAGTATGTCTGAATACATAGTATTCAAAAAATATAGTATGTGAACAGTCCCCGGATGACCTACTACTTCTGCCGAGATTCTGAAATGTGCATTTGATAGACTCTTTATATCCCATGAGGCCAGAGGATTTATGAATGGCAGTGAAGAGACACAACTGACAATGGTTTCATTCATACCACCCATATTCATACTATATAGAACACATTTTTTTAACAGTCTTAAAGTAAATTCGAATTCAAATGTAGTACCTACTCAGACAGAATGCAATTTCGGACGCAGTGACTGTCTTTATGAGCGAGTCATTGAATCACTCAACCAATTCTTTACATTGGATCATTGAATCATTGATTCTTTCAAAAATGCCTATTAATTCAGAAGAAGAAAAAACGCCACTGGCGCACACCAGTTCTGTTACTCTTTTCGGTAACACTTTACTTGAAGGGTTGTACATAAGACTGACATGACACCTTCATAACCATGACATGACATATGTCATGAATATGAAGTAGGGTTTATGCATGTTTATGACAACTGTCATTAAGTGTCTTTCGCTCAATAATGACATTTTGAATGCAAATATGACATTGTTTAAGATGTCTTTGTTATGACATCTTGACATAAACCAATACATCATAACCTGTCAGTGTCTTTGTCATGACAACTTGACATTAAATTAAGTTAAACTGTCATGTGGTTGGTTTTGACATTGGCTGTCATAAGGCCATTATAACTGTGTCATGAATATTTTTCGTGACCTCAACTACAGTGGTACAGATTGAACTTGTCATTAAACAGTTATAATGGCTTCATGACAGCCAATGTCAACACCTACCACCTGACAGTTTAATGTAATGTTAACCAATAAAGCTAAGTGGTTTCTTAAGTTTGATAATTAATCTTATGTCATGTTTATGACAGGTTGTGTTGTCTTAGTAATGTCAAGTTGTCATGACAAAGACACTGACAGGTTATGATGTATTGGTTTATGTCAAGGTGTCATAACAAAGACATCTCAAACAATGTCATATTTGCATTAAAAATGTCATAATTGAGCGAATGACACTTAATGACAGTTGTCACAAACATGCATAAAACTTCCTTCATATTCATAACATGTGTCATGTCATGATTATGAAGGTGTCATGTTAGTCTTATGCACACCCCTTCAAGTAAAGTGTTACCCTATTTTCATTGGCGAAATAGAGCAAAACAGACAATATTGACAATATAGTTTCTAATATCTACCTCACAATATGTACTTCTTGTTTACTGAACTGCTGTATAAATGCCATCACATTTGGAATCGTGAATCATGTGATATTCCTTAAATATATCATATTGAGATATAACATAAACGAATTGCATTTTGGGGTCATTGTAACTGCATTCTAATAGGCTACATCATGCTGTACTATCAAGGCATGTTTTTTTTTTTGCAAATTCAATGACAAATTAAAAAACGTTTTCACATTAACAAAAATTATGATATTATCATAGACTACATATCGCACAACACTTGTGTTACTGAATGAGTTCTCAGCATCGAGCACAAACCATTGCCCCAGGCATTGTGTGTGTGTGTGTGTGTGTGTGTGTGTGTGTGTGTGTGTGTGTGTGTGTGTGTGTGTGTGTGTGTGTGTGTGTGTGTGTGTGTGTGTGTGTGTGTGTGTGTGTGTGTGTGTGTGTGTGTGTGTGTGTGTGTGTGTGTGTGTGTGTGTGTGTGTGTGTGTGTTTTCGGAAAATCACGCCCAGCTCGTCTTGTGACAGTCCTGAAAAAGAACTGTGTGCCCCATTGTGTTAGTTTGTCTGTGTAAACCTCGTCTAGTTTGTGTGTGTGTGTGTTTGTGTGCCTCTTTAGATTTCTCTGTTTGCGCGATTTTGTCCGAGTATATTTGAATGCCCTTATCTACAGAACCAGTCATTTATAGCATAATATATTTTTCTAACGGGTGTATGTTTTATACCTGTTTGTGTGTGTGTTCTTTGTGTGCATCTGTTGTTGTGCGTCTCTGTTCTCACACATAAAAGCCTTTGGCTCGGGCCTGATGGCTGGCATGCATGTCAATGACGCTGCTGTTGTGTTGTGGAGGTGATATGTGTGCACAGAGCGCTTTAACTGCTCTAAGACCACGCACATCTCACACACACAGATGCTGCTGACAGACCTAAACACAACACTATTATCATTTAAAGATGCTCGCACAAACTGCATGTGTTTCGGTATGAGAATACTTGCTCTGGTCCTGCAGTTTAGTATTGATTTGACACAGTCCTGCGACTCTAGATCAGGATATGACGCCAAATTAGATAATCTGATAAAAAGAAGTTATTATTCTTAATGAATGGTTATAAAACAGATACTCGTATATACTTTTAATGTATACTTTTATTTACCAAGGTTGCATTAAATTCATCAAAAGTGAGAGTAAAGACATAACATTTTATTTTTATGTTACAATTTCGAATAATAATTTCGAATAAATGTTGTCCTTTTGACCGTCCTATTAATCATGTTTTCAATATTAAAGGGTTAGTTCACCCAAAAATTAAAACTCACCCTCATGTTGTTCCAACCCCGTAAGACTTTTGTTCATCTTCGGAACACAAATTAAGATGTTTTTGATTAAATCTGAGAGCTGTCTCACTCCTCCATAGGCTTTGATTGTAATTGAAACTTGCCGGCCCAGAAAGTTAGTAAAGACAATGTTTAAAATAGTCCAAGTGACTACAGTGGCTGAAGCTTAAGTTTATGAAGCAACGAGAATACTTTTTTGTTCGCAAAAATAACGACTTTATTCAACTATTCATTTTCTTCTGTGTGGGCCTCAGAGTGAGTTCACGTAGTGTAACAGCGCAGCGCTTCTGGGTTGTACGTCAGAACATAGGCACACTATTGGCCGATGCTGGTCATGTGTGTGATCATGTGATGCAGGCCAATAGTGAGCCTACGTGCCTTTAAGCAGCACAACTGTTTTCAAAATTGATAATAATGACACTGAAGACTACTGTAATGGCTACTGAATATTCCGTTTTCAAATCACATGCAATACATATTTTTTTTGAAAAAATTTAATATTTCATAATCGTACTGTTTTGACTGTAAATTTGAATAAAGAAATGCAGCCTTGATGAGCATAAGAGCACTCTAAAAAATGCTGGGTTGTTTCAACCCAAATTTGGGTCAGATATGGACAAACCCAAATGTTGGGTTAAAAATGTAATTAAAAAGATTTACAGTTGAAAGTGAAAGTTGAAGTTGGGTTAAAATTTTCAATTACATTTTAACCAAAGATTTGGGTTTGTCCATATTTGACCTAAATTTGGGTTAAAACAACCCAGCATTGTTTAGAGTGAGGCTTCTTTCAAATACAAATCTTACTGAAATCTAAACTTTTAAATGATAGTGTATGTTATAACAATAACATCATCTTCATGTTGTTCCAACCCTGCACCTGAACTTTATTTCTTCCGTAGAAAACAAAAAAAGATGTTTCGTAGAATGTTCAAGCTGCTCTTTCCAGTGCAATGAAAGTGAATGTGGACAGCTTGAACATTCTGCTGAACTTCTGTGTTCAAATGGGTTTGGAACAACATTTGGGTGACTAAATGATGACAGTATTATTTTCACATGATAGATATTGATGTAATTGGATACTAAACTTGACTCGTTCTTTTGCTCTCAGGTCTAATAATACGTTATCCAGCCGGAGGACATTGAAGAATTCCAGATTAGTCTGTAAGAAAGACGATGTCCATGTGTGCATCATGTGCCTACGAGCCATCATGAACTACCAGGTAAAACAAACCTTTGAATCTATATTATTGAGGAGCTCTCATAGACTTTCCAGCCCCTCCAGTTTTGCACGATTCCATGCTGCGAAATATACAAAATGAGGAATTTTTTTTGTGTGTGATCCTGCCTAATTAGCAGTTTAACTCAAAATGTGATAAATGTGGTAAAAAAAAAAAAAGACCACAATTTTCCACAAAATACTGGAAATTGCCGCCACAAAATCAGTCATTTTGAAAACACACACACACACACACACACACACACACACACACACACACACACACACACACACAAAAAGTCATGAAATCCTGGTGGGACTGGTTTTCATACCAAGTAAGCTGTTTGGTCTTTATCATGTTTTATTTCCAGATAATAAATCTTGAAGTTCCTGTTATGTTTACTAATTAGTCCTCTTTCTGTCTCTCTCTCAGTATGGCTTCAACATGGTCATGTCTCACCCTCATGCTGTGAATGAAATTGCACTGAGTCTGAACAATAAGAATCCCAGGTAACCCATTGAGATGGAGTAAGAGAGAGAGAGAGTGAGAGAGAGAGAGAGAGAGAGAGAGTGTGTGTGTGTGTGTGTGTGTGTGTGTGTGTGTGTGTGTGTGTGTGTGTGTGTGTGTGTGTGTGTGTGTGTGTGTGTGTGTGTGTGTGTGTGTGTGTGTGTGTGTGTGTGTGTGTGTGTGTGTGTGTGTGTGTGTGTGTGTGTGTGAGAGAGAAGTAAAGAACACTTTCCCAGAATCCACCGCTTTAATTCATTGCGACTCCTCTTTCAGAGTCATAAATACTGGCAGCTATAACAACAGACTCCTTAATCTGTGTGTGTGTGTGTGCGTGTGTGTGTGTGTGTGTGTGTGTGTGTGTGTGTGTGCGTGTGTGTGTGTGTGTGTGTGTGTGTGTGTGTGTGTGTGTGTGTGTGTGTGTGTGTGTGTGGAGGAGTTCTTACTTCATCAGTTTAGATGACATAAATAGGAGAAATGATTATTAATTGTGATTATATACCACTACTGTTCAAAAGTTTGGGGATTTAAAAAAATAAAAAAAATAAAAGAAGTCTCTAATGCTTACCAAGGCTGTATTAAACAGTAATATTGTGAAATATTATTAAAATATTAAACTATTTAAAATAACCGTTTCCTATTATATCTAATACATTTTAAAAGTGGTTCCACTTTATTTTTATAGTCCACTCTTGACATTCTACTAACTATAAGTAACTTTGCAACTACATGTCAACTAACTCTCATTAGAGTATTAGTAGGCTGTAGACGGTTAGGTGTTAGTGTTCGGGTTAGTAGAATAAGTTGACTTGTAGTTGCCAAGTTACTTGTAGTCAGTAGGATATCTATTGCGAGACCAACAAAATAAAGTGTTAGCAAATATTAATTAGACAGTCTACTAATACTATAATGAGAGTTAGTTGACATGTAGCTGCAAACTTACTTATAGTTAGTAGAATGTCTAGAGTGGACTATCGAAATAAAGTGTCACCTTAAAATGTAATTTATTCCTGTGATCAAAGCTGAATTTCCAGGATCATCACTCCAGTCTTTATAGTCATCACTCTAGTCTTCACTCCAGTGTCACATGATCACAGGGCCTCCAGAAATCTTTCTAATATGTTGATTTGCTGATCAAGAAACATTTCTGATTATTAACAAATGTTGAAAGCAGTTTTACTGCTTAATATTTTTGTTGAAAACATGATACATTTTGTTAAGGATTTACTGATGAATGGAAAGTTCAAAAGAACAGCATTTATTTGAAATTTAAATCTTTTGCAACATTATTAATGTCTCTACTGTAACTTTTGATCAATTTAATGTGTCCTTGCTAAATAAAAGTATTGGTTTCATAATTTTTTTTTTTTTAAATACAACAGAAAAAACTTTCTGACCCCCACTCTAAAAAAAAAATGGTTCTTCAGGGGTTCTTTGCGGTGGTCATGGTGCTATATAGCACCACTACCATTTAAATAACCTGTTAAGCCCAATTTGGTTCTTCAGCGGTTCTTCAGTGGTTCTCTGGGGTGGTTAAGGTGCTCTATGGCACCTCTCAAGGTTCTACATAGCACCATTTGACAAAGATAAGTGCTATATGGCACTTAAAGTGGTTCCCCTATGATTACAAGCCAATGAACCACCTTTAGTGCTATTTAGCACCATTTTTGTTTAGAGTGTAGTGCAGATCTTCTGCTTCTTCTGTCCAAATGTCAGTGTCAGTCCAAATCGAATTATTTGTGTATCCAATTGGAATCTGATCTGAATTATTGACTGTCCACACTGTGTATCACAACTGTTCAGATCGGATTTGTGTCCCACACTGCTCTTTCGTTTTTACGCAATATCTGCATTGGTTTCTATGGCAATGATGTTGCATATGCCAAAAACAACAACCGCAACATGTCTTATTTACATGAAGGTCAATAGGATTACTGAAGCATCAGCAGAAACACAGGAGGTATGAGCGGCTTTTTCCCAAGACATGTCTCTGTTATATTAGCATTTTCTGCTCGTCTGGCACTTGCAACAACACAGCATTGTTTCTGCCATGACTTTCAGCATGTTTCCTATAACAACGTCTGACATGTTTATTTTTCACGTGGTGTGAGAAAGTCACATAAACTACGCGAAATCCGATCTGAACAGTCAGACTAAAACGGATTTCCAGAAATTGGGTTTCAAACCACATACACATGTAGCTCGAAACAGATTTGTAAAAAACGCATTTCATGTGACTGTTTGCCGTTCACACTCGCTAACTATGATGGGATTCCAGAAAAATCGGATTTGGACTGACAGTCGGAACAAGGCTCAAGAGATACAGTGCAGTAATGACACTTGTTTTAATATGTGTGATATCGCTCTCTGCTGGTGCAGGACTAAAGCTCTGGTGCTGGAGCTGCTGGCCGCCGTGTGTCTGGTTCGAGGAGGTCATGAGATCATTCTCTCAGCTTTTGATCACTTTAAAGAGGTAAAGAAACACTAATGCAGGAACTTATACTTCTGACACAAAAACATGACTCAACACTGCTTCACTGCAGATAATAGAAACACTTACAGATTATGTGTTCCAGAATCACCCAATCATAGATTAATAGACACGAGACACATTTTAGGCTAACAGTCCTGTACAGTAAATAGGTCTAGACACACACCTGTTAAACACATTGTTATAGATTAGCTTAATGGGAGGAACACCACACCTTTATTTATTCATATCTCTTGTTTCTGGGAAGGAGAGATCAAGCTAATATCATTTCCTAAGAGGATGGTTTGAGAAATAAACTACTGGATCATGGTGTTTTTGAAATATCTAATTATCCTGGTATCAAAATCTCATTTTCAGTTTCTCTAGACATTATTTTACTGCATGAGCTCTTACTTTATTGCTTTGCAGGTGTGTTCAGAAGATCAGCGGTTTGAGAAACTCATGGAGCATTTCAAGAATGAAGATAATAATATCGACTTCATGGTATGTGTTTGACCAGCATCCAAATATACACATACACATTTTCATTTGCAATCATGGTTATTAATCCTCTAAAATAGATAACACTGTACCACTGATAGACAGTAGTATGAGATATAATTTTAAAAGAAAATAGATTATTGCAGAAGAGCTTCATTAAGCTGCATTAGAAGAACATGGCATCATAATATTACAGCCCTTTGCACATGTGAAAAGAAAAACACTTTACGTTGGTTTAAAATCTGAACATTTGGAGTTTAAGTAAAAGGCAAGCTTTAGGGGTTTGATTTAGGGGTAAATTTGATTAATTCAATTTGAACATGGAAAAGAATGTGTTAATGGGAGCACTACACATTATGGTATCTGAAAGCATTGTGAAATAAGCCTACTTAATAAATAAACAAAGGTAGCAGAAAACACAATATTGTAAAGGATAACGTTCTTGTAAATATGCCTGACTGGACATTTCCCCACATATTACACAGTTATGCCAAATAAATGCACATTATGTATTGATTCGAGCTTAAATGAGGATAGTATGTCATGTGTAGAGTGATATGAGAGACTTAAAACACCACTTGTAGGAACAATGGTCTGTTATTAGCTCTGAACTCATTATATAAAAACACTTGAATTCAGCGATTGACAAGTCTGAATTAACTATTACAGAGAACTGTGTACTCAAGTCAATTTTATTTGCATAGCACTTTTCACAATACACATAGTTTCAAATCAGCTTTACAGAAAACCATTAAGTTAATGTTAATAATATCTTAATAGCTTCACATTTAGCAGATTAGAGATGGGCGATGATATAGTTTACATTTTGTGATGATACAAGCATTCAAACTGTTGAGCTTTGCTATTGTATACAGTATAGTTTTGCGTGAGTGTACTGTATGTATGCGAATAAAGTAGGACATACTTCTAAATTCAACTTTATATAAAGATCTGAGCAATAATATAGTTAACATTTTGTGACGATATAAACAATCAAGCAGTTGAGATTGTCTACATGTGTAATAAGCCAAAATACTGAATAAACGAACATACATCAAATGTTTTTTTGTATGCAGATTTTATTTAGTTGTATTTAAATTGCTCTTTTAACATAACAACGTGCATAGCTTTACAAAATTTTGCCGTAATAATAAAGATATTTTGCATTTCTATTTCAGAGTTAAAACAGACTTAAAGGTGTCAATATTTGTGGGTTTCATTTTTGTATGGTGTATGTTGTTTTGCAGGTTGCCTGTATGCAGTTCATTAACATTGTGGTTCATTCTGTGGAAGACATGAATTTTAGAGTGCACTTACAGTACGACTTCACAAAGCTGGGCTTGGACGAATATCTGGACGTAAGTAAAGATGCTGGAATGCTTCTTTTGAGGCTAATGTTCAGTATCAGTATAAATGTTGAGTGAGCTGCGAGAGGATCCCTCACTCGTTCTCTCTCTCTCTCTGTGTCTCTGAGTAGAAACTGAAGCACACCGAGAGTGATAAACTGCATGTGCAGATTCAAGCGTACCTGGATAACGTGTTCGATGTCGGGGCTCTGTTGGAGGACGCCGAGACCAAGAACGCAGCGCTGGAGAGAGTGGAGGAACTTGAGGAGAACATGTCTCATGTTAGTAATGTTTTTACAGTATAACACTCTTCACCAAACGTCTAATAAAATCCTGAAAAACAACCATTGGTAACACTTTACTTGAAGGGGTGTACATAAGACTGACATGACACCTTCATAACCATGGCATGACATATGTCATGAATATGAAGTAGGGTTTATGCATGTTTATGACAACTGTCATTAAGTGTCTTTCGCTCAATAATGACATTTTGAATGCAAATATGACATTGTTTAAGATGTCTTTATTATGACACCTTGACATAAACCATAAAATCATAACCTGTCAGTGTCTTTGTCATGACAACTTCACATTAAATTAAGTTAAACTGTCATGTGGTTGGTTTTGACATTGGCTGTCATAAGGCCATTATAACTGTGTCATGAATATTTTTCGTGACCTCAACTACAGTGGTACAAATTGAATTTGTCATTAAACAGTTATAATGGCTTCATGACAGCCAATTATGTCAACACCTACCACCTGACAGTTTAATGTAATGTTAACCAATAAAGCTAAGTGGTTTCTTAAGTTTGATAGTTAATCTGCTATGTCATGTTTATGACAGGTTGTGTTGTCTTAGTAATGTCAAGTTGTCATGACAAAGACACTGACAGGTTATGATGTATTGGTTTATGTCATGGTGTCATAACAAAGACATCTCAAACAATGTCATATTTGCATTAAAAATGTCATAATTGAGCGAATGACACTTAATGACAGTTGTCACAAACATGCATAAAACTTCCTTCATATTCATAACATGTGTCATGTCATGATTATGAAGGTGTCATGTTAGTCTTATGCACACCCCTTCAAGTAAAGTGTTACCTACTCTGCAGCACCAGAGAACAATATGACCGTTGTCTTGTTTGTCATTTATTGCCAATATTTTCTCATTAGCCTTATGGAATTTGCATTATGTCATAATGAATAACAGCAAGCTTGATATGTGGATAACCAGATCTCTGACACAATGACTTAGCAGTTTAAAGTAACAACAGGTAGTTTTTTGCTCTCGGGCTCCCCCTACAGTTGGGAAAGAGTATTGTCCTCTACTACTGTCGTAAACTCTGTCATCCTACATGCACGTGCAATTGTTGACAACCAGGATAGCCCTGAACACTGTAGGAGGAGGTCACATGCAGGTGTTCTGCTTGCGTCGCGTCTGAAATGTCTTCATCCCAGGTACAGTGGCATATATTTCAGCATGTCATATGAATATAATTTCATGGGTTTTATTTTTTTTCTAACGACAAATGATCGCGATGCTCACGTTTACAAGCCAGCGTCATTATAGTAGCCTATTCTATTGGTTACCGTTTTACTGGATCTATATGATACTTCAATGCAATGTTTGAGTGGTTGATAATAACCATATATCGTCAATATTATAATATCAAGCTACCATAAATGAATCTGCAAATTTTACAAATCGATTTGCATTATAGCTTGAGGCAAGACAAATAAACAAATATCACAGACATGTTAGGTATCCTAAAATATGATTTTATTAATAATCTTCCTCCTTTCTTTGTACATGTTGAGTAGACTACACTTTTTAGGTCAAACATTTGCTATTTGCATTTCATCGATTGCAAAGTTCAAATCAGAACGAGAATACTAGCGATAGCTAACCATCAAAAACTAGAATATCGTTTACTAGCTACCAGATTGATAATTCGCTACTACTCTAGCGAATTAGAGAGGTTAGACAGAGAGAGGCATTCTTTTTTCGATGGGGGGTTTGATGCTCCCTGCACACGCAAGGTCTCTCGCTCGCTTTCTCTCTCTGCCGTCCGCGCGCGTTGGAGCACAGTCTCTGTCTCGCGTGCGCGCTCGCTCTAGATTCCGGGAGATTTGAACTAATTTGCGGTATAACTTGTCGATCACGAGTGGCTCAACAGGTAGATCTATAGATAAACTCATCTTTCAGGGATTTGACCGACCGGGTTGACAATTTAGCGTGAGAAACCGGGGGTGTGGCGTACGTGTGAGCGTGTGCAACCAATCAAATGCGGGTGTCTCACGGCCAATGCGTGAGAGTTGGCAGCTCTGCAATGTTGATCCTCGTTCTGCCTTTAACGCGATCACTTTCTCTTTTTCTCTTTTTGCTTTGCTCCGATAAAACCTTTGCTTTCTTGTTTTTCTGTGCTGCTTCGGCCATGACTATAACATTTGGCTCGCACGTCCGATTTTAAGGAAGTGGGGGTGGTGGTGGAAGTGACGTATATGCCGTAAAGCAGTCGAATTTTGTAGTTCTCTTTGTTCGCCGGTTACTACCCGAAACCCGAAGTTTAAAAGTACGATTAAAAACGCTACAGACCCCGTCAGGCTATGGCAGACGTGTCATTCAACCTATTGTAAGTCGATGTACCATCACAAGAGACTTGGAAATATATTATGAAGGTTGAAAAGTTACCTGTTGTTACTTTAACATGAATGAGCATGTTAGCAAGTGTGCAGTTGATCATTGTATTTTCGGGGGTTTTAAGCAGTATTGGAGTTTAAAGGAAAGTCTTTAATGATAATGAAACAGGATAGGACCCCATCATACATCTACAGTAGCTTGACCTTTGACCTTTTGTGACCGTTGGCCCTCTGGCCAAAGGATGACGTCCTGACCTGAGGTCATTTCCTCATTAGTGTGGCATTGATTTTTATAGTGCACTGCATAAGTGCGTATATTCTTATTAGAGTGGTCAAGAATACTTAATGAATGTGAATCTGAAGTTAAATATGTATGCAACACTGACTGAACTCATGAGGTCTGGAGATTTTAGTGTTCGGTTTAAAGCACAATGCTCACGTCTCAAGATTTTGGAAAACTCAAATGCTCAGGTCTCTTGTAGGCTTTCTGCCATGGCTTATTTGTGATTCTGTCTTCGGTTCTCTTAACTCTATGTTCTGTAGCTGGAGTCTTGTTGATTCTTGTTTGTGTGTTGTTGTTTTTTAGCTGACAGAGAAGTTGCAGGACACAGAGAATGAGGCGATGGCGAAAATCGTTGAGCTGGAGAAACAACTCATGCACAGAAATAAAGAGCTGGAGTCTATTCGGGTAAAAGATGAATCCTCACATCACTTCCTCTTGAGTTTCTGAGTTGCAATTTGCGTAACAATAATTTAGTTGATGTAATAAAGGTTATGCCAATAATAGTAAACACCAATACATAAAAAAATAAATAAAAAATAAGAAGCATTGATAGCATTGAACAGTCATGTTCTGCATGTACATATATAATTACATTGCAATAACTGGGTAATAACTAACCTTACCAAATTAGCCTAACTAACCTTATCATGTTTAATCACCTTATATTCTTACTTTTATTCTTACTCTTTACTTTCTTTTGTAAGTACACTGTAAGTGCACCTTTCGTACATGTGATAATTCATATTCAGATCTAGCTTTATTAGTGAAATACCCATTTTGAATCATCCATTCCAAAAATAACTTCTTTTTTTTTCTCATGTTGACTTGAAAACCCTTAACATCCTAAGTTTTTGATATTTTAGTGTAAAGAAAAAAATAAATAGCATATGCTTTTTTTTTGGTCAGCCTTAGACATAAAATCTCACAGGTTTGAAATAAATATTTTAAAGTTATTATTTCCCAAAATTAACGACACGTTCACAGTTTCTTTGATGTCGGTTAATGGTCACACGATATGTAAGAAAACAGAAAAAATATTTAATCTTTTTTGTTTTCTGATTTATTTTAATTATTCAAAACAAATGTTTATGTTCTGATCAGACTCCAAGACTGCCAAAAAAATTTAATTGTGATTATTTTGTCATATATTGCGATTTGAACTGTTCTTATTATTTTTTAACTCTAATTATACAAAATGGATGACAGAAATACTGTTACAATTGTGCTATAAAATAAAAAGTGAATATGTGATATTGTAATAAAAAAGTTATAAAACACCAGATCACACCACACTTTACTCTGAAACACACAGCGCAACAAACTATATACATAATTCAATCTCAGCCTTTGATTTTATAATCACACTAAGCTGTATAATGATTTCAATTTTATTCTGATTAATTGTGCAGCCCCATTTATTTATTTTAATGTTACATTTAAATGACTTAATTAGCTTTCTATCAACTCACAGAACCCTGTTTGGGAAAGGCTGCTTTAAAGTATAAAAATGCGTTCTACATTATGTTTGTGTTAACTTTGTGGTGATAGGAGGTGTATAAAGACGCCAGCTCTCAGGTGCACACACTACGGCGGATGGTGAAGGAGAAGGACGAGGCCATTCAGAGGCAGTGCAACCTGGAGAAGAAGATCCACGAGCTGGAGAAACAGGGAACCATCAAGATCCAGAAGAAAGGGGATGGGGACATAGCCATCCTGGCGTCCCCTCCTCCGGGGAACGGGCATCTACCAGGGTCAGAGGGTGTAGTTGGGCTGTCCGGTGAGGGCCTGGTCAGTCACACAGGTGTGGCTAACGGGACGGCTCATGGTGTGTCCATGCCTGAACCTCCACCACCCCCTCCTCCTATGCCGGCGACAGGTGAGGGATGTTCCAGATCTACTTCTACTTCAGATCTACTATTTGTATCACTATGTTTAGAATGATGCACTAAAAACGGTAAAGGTTTTCCGTTCACACGGATCCGCAAAAACCATTAAAAACGCTGTATTCTGCTGCCAGGCCAGTAGTTGGTGATGTCACTTTGTAAAGAAAAACCATGCGCCTATAGGCTGAACACATAATACGCATGCACATGATGTCACCGTTTTCACAAATTTGCGTTTTTGTTGTTTACACAGAGACAATAACAGTTTCGTTTTCAAAAACGTGCATTTTGAAACCCCTTTTTTAAAAGTTTGCGGTTTCAGGCCCCCAAAACGCCTTTGTCGTGTAAATGAATGGCCAAAACGCATAACAAGTTTTCTGTTTTCAGTTGAAAATGGTTTCTGGTTTGCATGGGAAGTGTGAGTGCTGGTGGACCAGCGACACCAGCACAGTTTAGCTTGAGAACAGCATGACTGTACTGGTCCACCGGTTAGACCAGCACTATACCAGCTCTAACCAGCATAGATAAGGCTGGACCAACAAGTAATTCAGGCTGGGTTATGCTGGATTTGTCAGCAGGAAATGTTTCAAATGGGTCCAATTCTCCCTATTAACTAGTTGCTTATTAGCATGCACATTACTAGTTTATTAGCAGATTATTAGTACTTATAAAGCCCATTTTAATGCCATGGCCATATTCTACATCCCTTAAAATGTAGAAATCCTATTCAATACCTAAACTTAACTACCTTATTGATAAGCAGTGATTAGGAGTTTACTGAGGCAAAAGTGGTAGTTAATAGTGAGAAATGGACCCTAATCTAAAGTATGACTGGACAATTGAACATATTTTCTCCCTCTTCCTCTTATCTTTTCAAGTACCAAACGGTCTCTCTGCTGCTCCAGCACCAGCACCCCCTCCTCCTCCTCCTCCTCCTCCTCCTCCTCTTCCAGGTCCTGGTGTGGATATATCTGCCCCAATGCCTCCTCCACCCCCCCCAATGGCCCCTCCACTTCCAGGCTGCGGATCACCAACCGTCATCATGAACTCAGGACTGGCAGGTAACAGAACCTGCTCGACACTAAAGACAAAACCATAACAATCATGTACATGCTCAAAGTATGACACAGTATTGCAGAGACATCACATGAACAAAAACCCCCAGTGATATAGACCAGATACGCCCCACACCGCTTAAGAATGTGGAAGTTAGCTTTAGTTTGTGTTTAAAGTTCACGCGTCAGTTCAGAATGGCTTTGGGTCTCTGGTGTCACCCTGTCTCCTCTCTGAGACGAACGATAACAATCACCACAGATCAAGCTGTTTATTTAGTTTCCTGTAACGGGTTTAATGTCTGAACACGCTCAAGTGAATCACTTCTGTTCTGCCGATGTCTTCAGTCATAATATCAGCTCTTTGATTTTGCATCAGATCGGTGTCTTTCAATTTTACTACATTGAGTTTAGTTGACATATCCGGTGGTAGTATTTTTCACCATGTCATTTATTGAGAATTTGAGTAAGAATGCATTATTATAATGTGAGTGCACAACATTGGAAATGTGGTCATAAAAGACTTTTGGATAATTCATGTGATTCCCTGATGTTTCAAAATGCTCAAGACTTACAGGATTTACACTACAGTTCACAAGTTTACGGCTGAAAAGACTTTTCAAGCTTTTGGAAAAAAGTATTTTATGTTTATCAAAGGCTGCATTTATTTGATCAAAACTACAGTAAAAACGGTGATGTCGTGAAATATTATTATAATTTAAAATAACTCTTTTCTATTTAAATATGTTTTAAAATGTGATTTGTTTCTGTAATGGCAAGGCTACATTTTCAGCATCATTATTCCAGTCTTCAATATTTTACATAGTAAGAAACCTTATTGACAACGGATTAATGCTTTATTACCTTTTTCAGTCAGTCTTCACTTGTCTTTTTGAAATTATTATTACTAAAAAGTCTCCCGGGTTTGCTTTAATCCACGATTTGTTGGTGTGGAACCTCTCTCTTGATCTTTATCATTCCTTATAAAACAATGCAGTTCTTTAGGAATTTCTGTGGAAATGCAGTCTATAGGAAAATAACGCAAACATATCTTTGGAATCAGAGGTTGTGTTTTGTCTGCTCTTAACCACCTCTTTCTCTCTGCTTATTTCTGCTCTACCTGTTGTGCCGCCATAGAGGGACCCATCAAACTGTACTGTAGGTTTGCTGTGTCGTGTTGTGTGTGCTTAGTCGTGTGTGTGGTCATGGTATTTTAGTCTCTAAGTCAACACACTCAGTTCCTCTATAATCTTGATCTGACATCGACTCTGAAGCTGTATTGCTGGTTGTTCCTCTTGAAACTGGGCATGAAATTGGACACTGCGTTGCAGAACTTTTCCTTACCGTTCAAAACCCAGAGAGGAACATTCTTTAGACCTCGCTTACAGAGTTCAGCAAATAACAGGACTCGAATGTCAGCCTATGAGACCACACGTTCCATGAGATGTAAGCTCTTATTTCTACACTCCACAAGAAGACAAAATCTCTGTTTCCAGAGCTCAGGCCATGAACCGCAACCTCATGGAAAACAACAGTACAATTCACATCAACACCAGATCTACAGATCTATTTGCCATTTAAGAATTGTAAATCTAGTAAACACAAATGCTTCTAGCAGTCAAAGCGTAATTTCACTCAGAACACAACTCTTAACGCAAATACAAGTATGCATTGCATTGTCAGCATTGCCACCACAGAGTAAGTGTTCTTCTATGGTTTTGTCGGTAGGGCTCCGTGATATGATATATCAAAATATAGTCAAAATCGTGATATGATTAGTGCAATTATTACATCACGAAGGCTGCGTTTTCATATATTTCATACTTAAATAAGTATATGCACTGCGTGTTTCAGAGTGAAGCGGCAAGTGGTCATCTACAAGTGGTTTTCATCTGTTCACAGTAAATGCTGCTCCACACAAACTCAATCTCTGAATGTGTTGTAAGTTCCGGTCGCTTATAACATGCATTTGAAAACGCAGTGTGTGTCAGGGCCTCACATTTGACCCGATTTGTAAAGAGAAGTGATTATAAACCTATAAAAAGGAAAACGGATCCCAGCGATTTTCCGCCAAAATAAAAGCTAAATGGTTTAATATTTAAAAATATTAGTATTACATATTTATACTGTAAATGTATAGTTGTACTATACAATTATTAATATTGTTTGCTTAAATATTATTTTTTTTGTAAATAATATTGTACAGTACAATGGTATTATAATTTTTTTTTCTTATTTCTTTTAATATTTGTATCAAATAATCACAATAAAAATCATCATTATTATTATTTTAGTTGTATTGAACGGGTCAAAACTCAAAACGGTAGGAATGTTGCAAGTGCAAAGATTCTTTTTTATAACTATTCATTTTCTGGTTACTGAAAGAGTTTTGAATAGGCACGTTTATTTCTTTATTTATTAAATTCTTTTTATTTTCTATATAGATGCATTCTAGAATCTACAATGATTAATTATTTTCAAATTAAGTTACTCAAGGTATCTGCTGAAAAACCAAATATCGCAATGTCACTTTATATTATTATTTTCCTAATATTTTTCTATTGTTATGGTGGAACAACAGTCTGAAGAAAATCTTGCTGATCTAGCTAGTTAGTTTAATGGCCATGTATACCTAAAATCTTGCTGATCTAGCTAGTTAGTTTAATGGTCATGTATACCTAAAATCTTGCTGATCTAGCTAGTTAGTTTAATGGTCATGTATACCTAAAATCTTGCTGATCTAGCTAGTTAGTTTAATGGTCATGTATACCTAAAATCTTGCTGGTCTAGCTAGTTAGTTTAATGGTCATGTATACCTAGTTACTTCAGTGATAACATCCTGTGTAGAGGTAGGCCTACTAAAAACATTTAAATGTGATTCTATCACCCCCTTGAGGACTGCATTGTGTTACTGCACAGTGACACAAACACTCTTAAGTATGGAATTTACACAAGAATTTACACAATTCTGTTGAATATATTTCTCACTTTAAGTCATACTTAAAAATGCCTAAAAATCAGTGCATGTCAAGCAATTTTCCTAATTTGTTAATTTCTTAAACTTTTCTTAAGCATTTTTGCAATGACTTTAAATCAACTAGTTTTTTTGATCCTTTATATCAGAATTAAACGGATGTGCATCATAAAGCAGTAAGACTAAAAATGCCATGTCCACTGTGTGAGTGTGTGTTTGATTGTGTTGTGTTTGCATGTTGAAACAGTGTGCCGTGCCGTCACAGGCGAATGATCGTTAGATAAGACGATAGTTGCGTAAATTCAGGAATGTTTCATACATGTTGTGACTTTTTCTCCTTTCTGCTCGGCCTAATATCACACCATCATATTGCTCATAACCCTCATCTGGACTGGACACTCTATTCTCTCCCTCTTTATCACCTTTGATCAGAGATTAATATCGCTGGATCTTAATTTAGCCATATTCAAGCATGTTGTAATCTGCGTTTGCTGCCAGATTCAGTCATTAACTGGATCATTTTGGAAGTTTTTATGAAGTATGAACCTGTATAAACGAAGGAAACCCAACACTTGACTCATTGTCATACTAAGACGCTGTTTGAGTCACATCCTCATGGTGTAAACCCCAAAACAGCCCTGAGCATCTGTCAATGTCTCATTTCCTAAACACACAGGACAATGTTATTGCTCAGAGATGCAGTTTTCAGTCAGGTTTCATGTAATTGCCTCACATTTCTCTGAATTTATTAAGATAAATCTAAATAGACAAATAAAATGACATATAAGCTGAATAGCTCAGATCATTCTCTTAGAGAGATTTGATATCTTGACAAATCTAAGCACAGTTTGAGACATTGTTGAGATCTCTTTTGAATCTTTAGAGGAGACACATGAGATTGCTGATCTATTTTTCTCAGGAGAAACATCTGAGAACAATTGAGATCTCATTTGTGATTTACAACAATACAAAATGTCTCATGTTCACACATTTCCCCTCACGACCCCTCATATATACGTGCAGATAAACCCGTCCTATCTGTGCCTGCCATTCACAAACCAGCTCCACATACCTCAGTAGATCAGACTGCATGTTCTGTGTGTGTGTGTGTTTGATTTGCATGAGTGTGACGTGTTCTTTCTGCCATGTTGTGTAGCTGTGAAGATTAAGAAACCCATCAAGACTAAGTTCCGTATGCCGGTGTTTAATTGGGTGGCGCTGAAACCCAATCAGATCAACGGCACTGTGTTCAACGAGATCGATGACGAGAGAATACTTGAGGTGAGACGGACACAGTTATGAAAAGTTTGAAAAAAAAAAAGTTTTGAAACTGGGCAAAAACATTTGAAAACCATTTGTTTTGTTACCGTACATATACAAGCACAAATGCATCAGCTACATTTTGTCTGTTTTTACAGAAAAAAATCTTATACTGCAATATAATTCAATATTATTATTATTAATAGAAACATTAATGTAACATCATAATCTGGAGGGTAATACTTTCTGTTTTTTTTTTCATTACGAAGACATTATAGTTCAATAATTTCATAATTCATGCATAATACATTGCATTAATAATTCGAGTATAATCCATTATCATGATCAACATCCAGTTTTGTATTATATGTTGTAATAAATAATGTTCTTTACAAGAGTAGCTATGATTTGGTTATTCTTATAATGTATTGCAGCTGAGGTTACAATCATACAAATGAAGCATTACCATGCGTACTCTGATGCATAAAATATATCTTTATAATGCATTTTTATACTCTACCATTCAACAGTTTGGGGTCGGTAAGGTGTGATATTAGAATATTATAATGATTTCTGAAGAATCTTGTGAAAATTCAGCTTTGTGTCAGTCACAATATATTCAAATAAACAACAGTCATTTTGAATTATACTTTTCTTTTCACAATATTCCTGTTTTTACTGAATTGTTAATCAAATAAATAAGAGAGTTCTTTCAAAACCATTAAACCCCAAACTTTTGACAATAGAGGATTCAAGTGCATTACGTATAATGGATCAGTACAGATGTTTTAATACACACACTATAAGACTGTTCATTTTACGATGTGAGGAGAAATAATGATTTGTTTTTCTCGATATACTGAATTATTGTTGTATGTTGATTTGCATTAGGATTCCAGACTGGCTGGTATCAGATATACAGCTCAGGATGTAATGGTCAATGGTGACTGTGTTTCTTCTGTTCAGGATCTGAATGTGGATGAGTTTGAGGAGATGTTTAAGACGAAAGCACAGGGTCCAGCCATAGACCTCACCTCCAGCAAACAGAAGACCTCTCAGAAAGGACCAAACAAAATCTTGCTGCTGGACTCCAACAGGGCTAAAAACCTGGCCATCACCCTCAAAAAAGTGGGCAAGACATCAGAGGAGATCTGCAGAGCCATCCAAGTGTAATTCACAGCCGACGCACACTACACATGATCACCAACATCTCTTTATCAGCGCCCTTCATTCTTCATCATGGTTGACTATATAATTGTATGGTGGACTCCAAACAGCAGCTTCTGGTGAGGATAATGCTTTGATATGTGTGTGTGTAAGGTTTGACCTGCGGACGTTGCCGGTGGATTTCGTGGAGTGTTTGATGAGGTTCATTCCAACGGAAGCGGAGCTGAAAGTTCTGCGTCAGTACGAGAAGGAACGCAAACCTCTGGAGAACCTGACAGACGAGGATCGCTTCATGATCCAGTTCAGCAAGATCGAGCGTCTCATGCAGAAGATGACCATCATGGCATTCCTGGGGAACTTCACCGAGAGCGTTCAGATGCTCACTCCGGTAAATAGCCCAACCCCAGAGCTGCTTTACCACACTGACAGCACGTTTGGTCAAGAATTATGCAGGATTTTTCCAGTATTCGTCTCAAATCACCCAAGCAAATGTAGATGACTAATCTAGACACTCCCGTGGATCTCCTCCAAAATGTCAGATTCCCTTTTCTTTCCCTCTCATGGTCCCTTGAATTCTTTCATATGCCTTATTTTTGCACGATGCTTTCCATGAACAGAATAGGGTTTAAAACTCACGTTTTTTAAGGTAAAATAACTTAGAATATTATGTGAGCTGTTTTATTTCATAGATATTTTACTTTGCAGTCAACACTGCAGTGAATAAAATCTAAAAAAAGTTAAATGAGACATACTTGCGACATATGATATCACTTTAGATGTTTCACAATTTTTGGAAACACTTAACAATAAGGTCCCACCCGATAATGTTAGGTAATGCATTGCATAGTTATTGCATAACAATGAGGTATACATTTGGTACAGTATTTATTCATCTTTGTTAACATTAGTTTATACAAATTCATTGTTGGTTAATTTTAGTTCAGGTCCATTCGATTATATTAACAGGTACAACTTTTGATTTTAATAACGTATTAGTTCAAATTAACATTAACTAAGATTATTAAATGCTTTAGAAGTATTTTTATTGTTAGTTTATGTTAACTGATGTTGTTAACCAGTGTTGGGGAAAGTTATTTTGAAAAAGTATTGCGTTACAATATTGTGTTCTCTTTCATCATCTCGTTTCGAGATCCACCTATGGGAAGGGCATCCGTACCTGACCTCTGCAGAAGCATCCAATTGCACCAAGTCTGGCTAACAGACAGAAGCGCGCAGCCAATGCCAGGTGAGGCCACACCCCCTTACCTACGGGCATATCACAGCTGGGCGCGCTGCTATTCCTCAGTTGACATTCGCTTCTCGCGATCTCTGCATTGACACAGTTCGGTTGGATTAACGTTACGCTGCTCACTTTCGAGTCTTCAGGAGGACATATCGCATTCGCCAGATCAGCCTCCGCCAGACGTGAGTGACAGTCGTTTCTTCAGCCTATCCGCTGTGTTTTTTGCATCCGGAGCCGCCCGAGCTCTCGCTGTCCTTCACCTGCTCCTCCTTTACATGGCTGCCCGCCACGGATTTTTCCGAGTTCTTCACCGCTGGCCCGCCCATGGCTATGTGACCGTCTAAACAGCCGCTTCCCCCGGGGAACAGCCTAGCACGACGAGCCTGCCCGGCCGCGTATGGTGCTCTCATCGCCGCTATAAGGACCCTCTCGTTCTGCGCGGTCTGCTTGGGCTTAACACGCTCAAGCTTTGGAGAACCCGGGGAATTGCGGTCATTGTAATTGCTGCCCATGTAGCTTTTACTAAGCCGGCTTTTAGTTGCACGACACAGCGCGCCGTGCTCGGCCTTTCTGACTCGGAGGAGAGACACGGTGATGATGACGCGCTACCGGGGGACTCCCGGAGCGCCACCTCTCTAAAATATTTGAGCTGACATCAGCCCAATCCGCATTCCCTGAAGAGGACATCTTCGCGGGAAAACCTCACTCTCGTTGACGAACCGGTCGGTTCCGGCGACGGGGATGACGCGGTCCTTTTAGCGTTCCCTAGGCTAGCGTTCACGCGGCTTTGCCTCCGTCCATCCTCCTGGAAGTTTGTGAGCGAGCGGCCGTTCGTTTCAACATTGTGTGGCCAGCTCCACAGAGCACCACCGACCAGGATAGGAATATGTACGACGGGTAAACGCTGGGACCACCGCCCAGTCTGAACGGCCGGAGCGTCCCGCTAGACTGTTAACACGGTCTCACGGGCCTTGATTTGTTACGATTACGTGTTGAGGTTTTCAATGTATGCCTTCCTAGGAAGGCGGTCCCGAACGCAAGCGGCCTGCCTGTTGTTCGACCATCGGGAGTAACGTTAACTAACAGGGTCTCCCACCTACGGTCGGTTAATCCCCTCGCGTGGCTGCCCAGCCCGTATGTTAGTGGACGTTGTGTGTGTGTGTCCCCCTCCCCCCCACAACAACAAGTTACGGGGGAGGGGGCTGTCGTGAGGAAAAGTACATAGCAGTGTTACCACACCGCACGCACTTGGTTCCCCTCACCCAGTTATTAAAGGCTTCGGCCCCAGTGTTTCCCAACACAAACACACACATTACTAAACAACACATTTAATAAACGAATCAAATGAATTCGTGCAGATTTATATATCTGCCAGCGGCAACATAGAGAGCAAATCTCTCTGATCCCATGCATGTCGCCCTGAGTCCGTCCACAAGAGGTCGCCATTGCCTCATAAATCAACCAACTGGGCTCACACAGCTCAGTTGCGGCTGTCCAGCCGATGTGTTTTTAGTGGACGTTGTGTGTGTAAGGCCCCTGTGTTCCCCAACACAAAACACACACATAACTAAATAACACTTAAAAAAAAAAAAAAAAAAACGCATTAAATAAATCCGTTACAGAGAGAGTATCTCTCTCCGCGGATATTATTTTTCTGCCTGCACTTGAGACTGCCCAGTTCATGTGTTCAGGAGATATGTGTTTTTCCCACTTTTGGGGACACCTTGTGAGGGAAAGTTCAGTACAGTGGACACCACACTATGTTTCCCTCACTCTGTCAATAAAGGCTTTGGCCCCAGTGTTTGCCCAACACAAAACACACAAAGCTACGAATCAAATGAATTCGTTTTGGAGAGAAGACCTCTCTCCGCAAAGAAAACTTCTCACTGCAGAGAGAGGAAATCCCTCCAAACCCCTGCATGTTGCCTCTAGTGTTCCCACTAGATGGCGCCTTTGCATCACAAATGAACCAGCTGGGCCCATACAGCTCCGCTCCGGCCCGAGCGGGGGCGCTCGCGAGTCACAAAGCGGCTTGGCAAGCCGTTTCAGCGCCCGAGTGGGTTTTTGCGTACTGTAACCCAGGGTTACAAGCTGCAGTTTGCAATAAAACCTCCGCATTTCAACGGCGTTCTCTCTTCTCACACAGAAGAAAACGCCTCACACATTCTGAAAGAGGAAATTTCCTCCCTCCTAACAAGGGAGCGATTCAGATGGTGCCACCCAATCTGATAAACCATGGTTTTTATTCCTGGTATTTTCATGTTCCAAAAGGCGTGGCGCCCCCCCGCCCTATATTGGACCTTCGAGTGTTGAACAAACATTTGAGGAAATTCAATTTCAGAATGTGACACAAGCCTCTCTCGCCTGTGCCATAAAGCAGAACGACTGGTTCACATCAGTCGATCTGAAAGATGCTTTCTTTCACATAAGCATCTACCCTCCACACAGGAAATATCTTCGTTTCGCCTACCAAGGCGTTTGTTACGAATTCACAGTTCTTCCGTTCGGGTGCAATTTGAGTCCCCGAACTTTCTGTCTGTGTGTGGAGGTGGGCGTGGCGCCCCTGAGACTATCAGGGCTGAGAATTCTGACTTACTGGCTCATCATAGCCAAATAAAAGGAGAAGGTGTCGCTGGACACCGGCCGGGTGCTCGCGCACATCACATCCCTCGGGTTCAAGGTGAATGCGAGCGAAAACAATCTGACTCCCAGTCAGAATGTCATTTTCCTGGGCTTGGAATTGAACTCAGTCTCCATGCGAGCGCGTCTCTCTCAAGAGCGCGTTCGCTCGCTGATGGACTGTCTGTCTCAGTTCAGTGAAGGGGAGAGAGTACAATATCGCACATGCCTCAGGCTGCAGGATCTCATGGCTTCATCTATCCAAGTTGTGCCATTGGTCTCCTGAGAATGAGAACGTTCACGAAATGGGTTTTGTACACCACATTTCAGCCCGATTTGCGATCTCTGCCGCTCGGTAACGATGACGCGCGCCTGCTCGGCGGCCTTGCGCCATTGGGTGAGCGAGAACTTTTACGCACGGGGAACCCCCCCTCGGGACGGTACGATGCGAAAAGTTTTGACGACAGATGCGTCCTTAACAGGCTGGGGAACCACCCAGGAAGGCAGAACGGTGAACGGTCTGTGGCTGAGCAGACTACGTTCAGCGCACATTAACTATTTAGAGCTTTTACTATTTGGAAAGCTCTGAATCATTTTCTGCCTTGCCTGCAGGGACATCCTGTTCTAGTACGGTGCGATAATACCACGGTAGTGGCTTATATCAACCGTCAGGGTGGCATGCGCTCGTCAAAACTCCACGCTCTAGCTTACAGGCTTTTGGTGTGGAGCAGACAGGTTTTTCTGTCATTACGCGTGACTCATGTCCCGGGCATTCGGAACAGAGGCGCGGATCTGCTATCGAGGGGAAACCCAATCCACGGGGATTGGCGTCTTCACCCGCAGATAGTGGAGAGGTTATGGATGAGATGGGACAGGCAGCCGTAGATCTTTTCGCCTCGCGCGAAAATCACCATTGTCCTATGTTCTTCTCGCTAAAGGACATGGACGCGCCCCTCGGGGCAGAGGCACTGGCCCACCCATGGCCCAAAGTGCTGTTGTATGCTTTTCCTCCCCTGTGCCTGATAATTTTCACTCTGGCCAGGGTGAGAGAGCACGGCCTGTCTCTCACTCTAATAGCACCCAGGTGGCCCAAAGCCCCATGGCTGGCAGAGATAATCCCTCTGTTATACGCCGAGCCATGGCGCCTCCCCCCTCGCACGGACATACTGTCCCAAGCCAACGGGGAGATTTACCACCCCCACCCGGACAGGGTGGCTCTCTGGGCCTGGCCCGTGAGAGGACGAACCAAAATGCACTGGGGCTCCCGCCGCGTGTAATCGCCACTACTCAGAAGGCCAGGGCCGTTTCCGCGCGATCCCTATATGGCTGTGAGTGGCAAGTGTTCGAAGGGTGGTATGATGGGCGTGGTTTCACATCTTATCAGTGCTCGGTGCCTGATATTTTGTGTTTCCTGCAAGACCTCATGGAAAGAGGCAGGTCCTTTTCCACTATTAAGGTCTACCTGGCTGCGATTTCAGCCTGTCATGTGGGTTTTGGGGCTCCACCGTCAGGCAGCACCCTCTAACCCGCAGATTTATGGAGGGTGCACGCCGCTCTTTGCTGGTCATCAGGAGATCTGTTGAATCTGTCCCAGAGTGGGACCTCTCCATGGTGCTGGAAGCGCGGTCTCTGTATCCTTTTGAGCCTCTGGGGAGTATTTCCCTTAAGCTGCTGTCCCTCAAGACAGCTTTGCTCTCGGCCTTGGCATCTGCTAAACGGGTCAGTGAGCTACATGCACTCTCGGTTCACCCCTCGTGCGCCAAATTCTCCCTAAGTGGAGATAAGGTTTTCCTTAAGCCTAACCCGGCCTTCATGCCGAAATGCTTCCCTGCGTTCACGTCGGAGGTTTTGGAGCTATCCGCTTTTCACCCTCCACCCTTTGCCTCCCCGGAGGATCAGGGGCTGAATGCTCTGTGTCCCGTCCGTGCTCTGCAAGCATAATGACCAGGACCAGTGCTTTCCGCAAGAGCGACCAGCTCTTTGTTTCTAGGGCTCCCCTGCACAAGGGGAGTCCCATTTCAAAGCAATGCCTCTCACATTGGCTTGTGGACGCTATACTATGGCTTATGAAGCAAAGGGAGTGCAGCCCCAAGGGGCATCAGAGCTCATTCCACAAGGGGCTTAGCCGCCTCTTGGGCTTTGTTCAGGGGAGTGCCACTGCAGGACATCTGCTCCGCGGCCAGCTGGGCCTCTCCTCATACCTTTGAGCGTTACTACCGGTTGGATGTCACCAGAACTTCGGTGGCACACTCGGTCCTAGGGGTAGGGTCCTCTTAGCCCTTTCCCACAGCCCCGTTTGGTTAACCAACGAGGAGTGAATGGGCCGGCTGGCCATGTTCATTCCTGTCACCAAGCATTCGCATTCCTTCTTGGGTTTAGCTATGTGCATTGGTGGTGCGGGGGCCATTATCATGTATGTGTCTCATGCATGTTTCATGCCCTGCTTGTCCACAGCAGTTAGCGTGGCGGAAAACTTGCAGGGTCATGTTTGTGGGACGTGTCAGGCACCGCCTCTCTGAGGTGACCGTCCTTCTCTGGCCTTCAGAACCTCACTGTGAGTGTATTGGGCAATCGGGGAGCTGTCCATGTCTCTCCCATAGGTGGATCTCGAAACGAGATGATGAAAGAGAACAATAGGTTACTGTCGTAACCCCGGTTCTCTGAAACATCGAGTGGAGAGATCCACCAGCCTTGCCCCGCTTGCCGCACGAGAAGCGAATATACTGACTGAGGAATAGCAGCGCGCCCAGCTGTGATATGCCCGTAGGTAAGGGGGTGTGGCCTCACCTGGCATTGGCTGCGCGCTTCTGTCTCTTAGCCAGACTTGGTGCAATTGGATGCTTCTGCAGAGGTCAGGTACGGATGCCCTTCCCATAGGTGGATCTCTCCACTCGATGTTTCAGAGAACCGGGGTTACGACAGTAACCTATTGTTACTCCCTAAAAAAGCAACTAATTGTTTTTAGTAACTTTTTAGGTAACTTTTAGTTATGTTACTTTTTCTCACCTGGACTGGGCTTGTTTGTTTGTTTTTTACAACAACAACAAGTTATATTTTTGGCAAATGTTTAGGCCCTTTTACACCAAAAGTGAAATGAATAAGTCTCAGGCTGAAGGCAATGCAAAGTACCTCCTGTCCAGTAGAGGGCGCCGCTCAAACAAACCTTTCAGCTGTGCTGTCTTTCTGAATCACAGAAGAATAGGACGCAGTAGATGAAACTTCAACACTCTTACTTCAGCAATAAAAAACAAAAAATGAAACTCAAACGTGATGTTGAGCTATAGTCATTTTTGCTTATTAGTATGGTTGAATTGGATCATCAAAAGTCAGCAGCAAAGACGTTGGTTAATAAAGTGAGATTAAATACATAAAGTATATTTGTGTTATTTAACATATTTAATTATTGCAGGTTTGCATTTGACTGTTTATATTCATTTTGAGGACGAATGAATGAGGACGAATCTAAATCTGTTGAGATGATGCATGCTCACATTTAGAACTACTATCACCATTATGATCACACAGCGCACACAACGCCTCTGCACTTATGATGCATTCACATGCTATCGGAATTATCGTACATACTAGTTTCCTAGTTTAAAAATTGGACATGAATGCCCATTCAAGTCAAAATTTGAATGTGATGAGCTCGTAGAAGTGGGAAGTAGGAAATTTCAGATTTTCCAGCATGTGAAGCATTAGGCTACACCTGTTTTAGTCAATAAATGGGAAAACAAAGTAACTTGTGTCTTATTTGAAAAAGTAATTCCAAGAGATTAATAAGAGATTAAAATCTTATTTGAAAAAGTAAATCAGATATTTTGTTGTAAATTTTAAAATAATGTGTTACTTTACTAATGTGAAAAAACGATTCTGATTACTTAACTCACATTACTAGTGATGCGTTTCACCCCAAAAAACTGTTAACTTTTTTTTAGTTGTATTTTTTATTCTAGCATGAAAAGTAGCTAGTTTTAATGACCATACATATAATTTTAGGCCCTTTTTGTGTTTTGCTTTTGTCTCAACAGCAACTTCATGCCGTTATTGCAGCATCGGTCTCTATTAAGTCCTCTCAAAAACTCAAGAAGATTCTGGAAGTAAGAGTTTCACTTCTGTCTTGATTCATTTTCCTCCACAGTGCGTGTCTTTATTGAGCGTGTATTTCTCTCTCAGATCATCCTGGCTCTGGGGAACTACATGAACAGCAGTAAAAGAGGAGCGGTGTACGGCTTCAAACTGCAGAGCTTAGACCTGGTACATTTCACATGCTCACTGGGTTTTTTTTACTCAGATGTTGGCCGTTATATGTCAAATCCTTATGATTTATGAATGGACAACAAAGCACCTTTTTATTACAATCGTAATTGTTATTTAAGCATGCCGATTGTGAAATGACATTAAAACCACTGTGACAGATTTGGACCTTTATCTATAATTCTGTTAGACTGTCAATGTTTTTTTATGATAACAAAGTGCAAGTATATGAAAAAAAAAAAATTCAAATATTTTCTTAACATTCAAACATTCACTTGAGGGTTTGCATGTTTTCCTTTTCCAGTTATTAGACACTAAATCAACAGATCGCAAGGTCACTCTTCTGCACTATATAGCAAATGTAGTGAAGGAAAAATACCAGCAGGTGTCGCTCTTCTATAATGACCTGAACTATGTGGAGAAAGCTGCCGCAGGTATGAAACGTGTCATATTTGATTATGTTTGCAATAAGCAGGGCAGATCGTATTTGCTCGCACGTCAAGTTTTGACAACATGTCCAAATGATGTGAAGGAAATTAACTGTCTCTCTGTGTTTCTCAGTGTCTCTAGAGAATGTCTTGTTAGACGTGAAGGAGATGCAGAGAGGGATGGATCTGACCAGGAGAGAGTACAGCATGCACGGCCACAACACAATGCTCAAAGACTTCATACAGCAGAATGAGAATAAACTCAAAAAACTTCAGGACGATGCCAAGATCGCTCAGGTGCCGCTAACACTGCACATACATGACCCGAAACACTCATTAAACATGTCAGACTGAGGATGGAATCACGTTTTCTTTTTCTTTTGACATTAAAAAGTTTGCTTTCAGAACCCAACTTTCAGAACCCAACATTTCCTCCCCAGTCCAAATAGAGCATTTATTGAAACTAAGCTGCAAAATGTCTCGTTTTAAACTAATCAAGGGTTCGTTTATTTAGGCTGCTCTATGTATGGGCGTTGATAAATGTTTAGATATGAATAAAAGCCTCAATTAAATCTGTTCATCATTAGGCAATTGTGTCTCTTCAGAAGACTTGGCTTAAACTGCTCGAGTCATATTGAGGGGAAATAACGAAATAATAAAATCTGAATCTGATCCTTTGGGTTGGGATTATATCTTCGTCAACATTGTTATTAAAAATGTAACATTTGAAGACTCAGTAACTAGCCTACATGTGATTCTCTTGTTGTTGGTTATCTCTCTTATGTCTTTTCATATCTCAATCTCTCAGGATGCCTTTGATGAAGTGGTGAAATTCTTTGGAGAAAATGCCAAAACAACACCACCGTCTGTGTTTTTCCCAGTGTTTGTGCGCTTTGTGAGAGCATACCGGGTAAACCGACCAATCACCTGTCTCACTTCATCCAATCACGTCCTCCAGTTGTATATAAACCGTACCTGCATTAATCAGTCATGTAACATGACTTCCAAATGCCTGATGGGTATTTTCTCTTCATCAGCAAGCAGAGGAGGATAATGAACAGAGGAAAAGACATGAGCAGATGATGATGGAGAAGCTGATTGAGCAAGAAGCTATGATGGAGCAAGAGGATCAGAAGGTATGAATAGAATAAAGGGATAGAGAGAGAGAGAGAGTGTGTGAGTGTGTGTGTCAGGGAAGTGGAACTGTTGTTTGGGGGCAAAACTGGCCCCAGGGATGCCATCATTTGGAATATTTTTTTTTATTTTTTTTTATTAGTTTATAGTCTTTTAGTAGGGTTTAACCAGGGGTATTTTTAGTGTATACAATTATAAAATAAAACACTTTACCAGTAACTTTATTAGGAACCTAAGCGCAAACATGGTTCATGATAGCCTGCCCATTAGTAATCTAAATAATGTGAGAAGACATTTTCATGGCCAGTAATTTTATTTCAGTACGTTTTCTTGTTCACTCGTGATTGACAAAAGTTCATTTTGGCCCGGGTGTGTGTGCGTTTGCCGTTTACCGATATTTTGGGGACAAATTTATACCAATAAGTGAGCTAAATCTGACAAAACCTATTTTTGGGACAAGTTTATGGAATGTCCTCATTTCCTCATGAGGAAAATAGCTTATAAATCACACTAAATTATGTAAAAATGCAGAAGGTTTTCTGTGATGGGTACACTGTAAAAAATGATCGTGATTTTAACGGTAAAAGACTGTAAAAATGCTACGGTGAAATACTGTTAATTGGTTAACAGAAAGTTTCCTTACTATACACGGTACATAACTGTGATATATATAATGGTACATTTAATGTAAGTTAGTTTACTGTAAAATACCGTTAAATTTACAGTTTTTGGAAGTGAAAAACAACGAGTCATTGTATAATTTACAGTGAAAAAATGTAAATTAACATTCCCACAATTCCCTGCGTGACACAGTTATGTACATTAGGGTTTTATGTTACATTTAATGTTGTTAAATTAATGCTTATTGCATTTTTTAAATTTCAACATGTTACCATGATGGTGTTTAATGTTTGTGTGAATGACACTGTGCAGCTTCTATATATTAGTATTAACTTTCTCGTGGAAGAGCTGCTTATGATGAGCTTTGATTGATCATTTGATGATGAGCTTTGATTGATCATGTGACTCTCATCACTACTGTGATTGTTGGCTGTCAGTGTATTACAATGGAACAAAACAGATAATAATACTTCAAAAGGTCAGTAAATTAACATTATATCAGATAATGAAATACGGTTTATTGCTGTAAAATTATATACGGTTAAAAGTCTGTAAAACCTAAAATGTTGCTACCGTATTTTTAACAGGAAAACTCTGGTAACCACAGCTGCCAGGTTTTCCCCGTAAATTTTACGGATTTTTTTTTTACAGTTTAGGGTTATGGGAGAGCAGATACAGTTTGTACAGTATAAAAATCATTATGTCCATGGAATGTCCCCATAAAACATGCAAACCCAGCGTGTGGAAATATTTGCAGATTAATTACAGTCTTTAATGACAGCATTAATTGTAACGGTATTGTGTGTGTGTGTGTGTGTGTTCAGTCTCCCTCTCATAAGAATAAGCGTCAGCAGCAGGAGTTGATCGCAGAGCTGAGGAAGAAGCAGGTGAAGGACAGCAGACACGTGTATGAGGGTAAAGACGGAGCCATCGAGGACATTATCACAGGTAACACACAGTGTTCAGCTTTTGGCTTCATCCCGTAACTGTTCTGCATGCAGCGAGCTTTAAAACATTAGGACTTCTGTAATGTGTTAGTTTAGCCACTAACCAGCTCTCTGTGACTGGTGGAAAGCTTTACTGATCAATAACAATGTACTGAGCTGAATGTGTGCTGTTACTGCTTACAGCTCTGAGCTGGAGTGCGGCTACTAAACACTGTTTACTGTAGGTTTAAAGGGGTCATATTATACTTTTTGTATCATTTTTTTTTCCTTAGGTCCACTTGTCAAGTCAAATTTGCATTGTGCTTTTCACAATGCACAAACCAGCTTTACAGCTGGTCGATAATATAGTTTATTTACTGTAATAATACAAGCAATCAAGCAGTTGAGATTTGTTATTGTAGTACGGTATATATCGCTTATTCGCTTTACATGTGTATATATGAGGATAAAGTTGCATATACTTATATATATATTCAGTTTCATCCAATTTTAAGAGCTGGCCAATTATTTAAGTTTACATTTTGCAACAATATAGTTGTAATGTTTCTGTTCATTTTATTTTGTTTAATTAATTAGAATGATGCATTAGTCTGCTGCCGGTTGACTCAAAAGCCTCGTTTTGCTTCAACTACAAATCGAACTTCTGCATTTTTGTATTCCTCCCTACAGACGTTCAGAACTGAATTATGGGTGTTGAAGTTTTTGGCAAAAGGGAATTGTCTGCTAACCTGGCCCTAGCCAGATGAATTTCGCTCCACCTAGCTTCACTCACATCCATCTGGAACCGATCCATTGAAATGGCGTTTCAGAAGGCTGGGCCTTATCAAAAATCCTTGCATATGATTGGATAAGCCACTTGTCTGTCATCTTTATCGACGTGCTATTTCAACCACTCACACCGAAGCCAACCCGTGACGCTGAAGAATCCGGTCGGGAGAAGGCACTGATCTATATAACATTGTTTCCACCAACAAAAGCCTTAAGAGCCGTTCTCTGATGTTCTTTTAATGAAACAATATTAGGTAGATTGGACAACACGGATGAAATCAATGGTAACAGCATCAATGTTAACGCTCGTTTCCTCGATGCGAGCCGCCATTGTTGTCTGAATCAAAACAGTCTCACGGTCGCTTCTCCACTACGTCACATCTATGAAACTCCCGCCCTGCGTCCTGATTGGCTAAACCATAAAGTTGGTTGGAGAAATCACTCTCAATGGAAGAGGTTCCAGATGGATGTGAGTGAAGCTAGGCGGAGCGAAATTCATCTGGCAAGGGCCAGGTTAATTGTCTGCCGCATAGATAGCAAGTTTTATCAAAAGCCCTTCTGACCAGTGTTGAATTAGCCATCTAAACTGAAATATTTTTAAAGGTTTGAAAAGCACCTTTTTTGTGTGTTCGTTTTTTTGTAAATACTAATACATTTTAATAAAAGCTCTCTTTTCATTGAGGATTATTCCAAAACAATAGTATTTCCAGGAAAAGTTCAATTCAATTCAACGATATGACCCCTTTATGTTTCATTTAATTTTTAACCGTGAAAAAAACAGAATCTCTATAATGGGCCAAATATTTAAGATAATTATATTATGTCGCATAAATGTATATTTTGTAACGTGTAATCCTCTTGACGGCTGCATTTCTATTCTAGGCATGTATGTAATCCATATTAAAATAGTTTCATCTTTATATAATAGCTATTAGTACCATGTGATTATACTAGTGTGCTGTTGTGTGTAGAAAGTGCTAACATTGTGCTTGTTGCTCTGGCTTGTTTGTGTCGTGTGTGTGTGTGTGTGTGTGTTTCATCTGGACGCAGTGCTGAAGACTGCCCCCTTTACTGCGCGCACAGCCAAACGCAGCTCGCGTTACTTCAACGAGGAGCTCCACTTCTAAAGCTTAGACTCTCTCTCTCTCTCAGGTCGCTGGATAAAGCTGCTTTCTTTCATTCTCTCCCTCTGTGTGTGTGTACCCCTTCACGCTTCACATTCCTGGTTTTATTTCCCTGTGGGCCGGCGTATGGTTGTGATGGAATGGGCGTGTTCATTTTTGATTTCTTTTCTAACTAAACTCCTGCATGAAGGGGGGTTTGGGGAGTGGAGCATATGATGTCATCACAGATTTCTTTTGCACGGAGTGTCATACATTCATATTCATCATTGTAACATAAATGTAATGAGAGGAAATATGATGTCACAAACAGCCAAACACACCAGTGTTTCTCTGCACATTTCAATTGTATGTGTGGCCTGTGTTGGTTTAAACTTCTGTGCCAGTTTTTCTCTGAGAAAAGCAAATACTATTGGTCGGCTCAGAGCACTGTGGCGCCCTCTGTAGTTTAAATACAGAAAAGAGTCCGCAAATAAACTCCCGTAGAAATCCCATATGGGTCATTCCAATTCCACAGACACACACACACTCATTACTTGAAATGAAATAAATATGAACTGAAAAAAGTACTTAAACTTAATTTATTTTTCATTTAGTTTAACTTGATAGTCTAAAAAATCTAAAAATAAAATAAAAACTATATAGACAACAAAACAATTAAAACAAAGGCAATAACTAATTAAAATGACAAAAACGGAACAACATTACAATTAAAATATAAATACAACATAAAAAAAACATAGGTTCATATTTTTAGAACATTATTATAGGCAAAAAACCACCACAATATTTGTAATCTCTGTGAGTTTGTATCTGCCGAATTTATGGCAATTAAATTAATTCGTCATGTTTGTAACACTGGCATTTTGGACATGATTTGTGATATTATGTTTTGCTCATGTGTTCATATGTCATTGTGAGTGTATATATATATATATATATATATATATATATATATATAAAATGTCATTGATTTTTGGGGCCCATTCACATTATGCTGTTTTTCTGCATTTTCTCACTCTTCCTCCATCTTATTCTGCTCTGATGGGAAGTTCTGATGTCAGGGACTTCCTATGTTTCACGTGTGTTTAACTTCCTGCATGAAGCATGTTGAGATGTATTCCTCTTCTAAGCATGTTTGGTTCATTTGCTTCACTGACTGTATGCATTTGCATGGGGTGTTTTTTGTGGCCAAATATAATGTTGAATCTCACTAAAAAGGTCAAGAAATGTCATATTTTTAACCTTAAAAATCAAAAAACAAAATCATAATATTAATAGTGTAATAAAATTATTAATAAAATAACTTTTTCCCTCACATTTGCGTGATATAAAGTCACAATTGCAAGATGTAAACTCGAAATTGTTAGATAAAAAGTCGCAATCATCTGTTAAAATGTTTTATTCTGTGGCGGAAACAAGCTTCCATATCCTCTTTATGCTAAATACAAATGTTATTATCATTACTATTATGAAATATGACTGGGATGACATGTTTTCTTGAGATTCACCATATCATTGCATTTAGTTTCCACCATGCCTGCTTGAGCTTAACTTACTGTACGTCCTGGCTTATAACACTGCACTTCTGGGAGGCTTGGCACATTATCTTTGGTTTCACTGTTTAAAAATAATGAAGTGACCACGCAGACGTCAGTTTTTGCTTTGTTGTATCTGGACGCTGGAGCCATTGTGCAGAGCAGCTTGAGTCATAGAGTTCATTACTGCAGTATCAGCAGCGCTTCAGTAACACCCTACAGCGCCTGCCTTTGACCTTTGACCTTTCCTCTTTGAGCCCTGGGCAGCTTTTCTCGCTGTGTCCGGTCCACTCTGCTCCAATCTAACCTCCGTTTTTGTTTCCTCTCCACTCAGCCTTAAAGAAGAATAATATTACTAAATTTCCCAATGTGCACTGGAGGGTAAGGAACTCTTCCAGTAGTACCCCACTGGATGCTACTCAGACCTGGCAAGCATCTCTCTTTATTATTATTTATCTTTCATTCTTTTCACTCCACTAGATCTTTTGACACTGAATACAAAAGCCATCTTTTTGTGTTCTCTTTCCATCTGTCGTTCTATTTAACACACATCAGGCCTACTGAAGTCTGACCCTCAAGGGCCGAGTCTCCAGGGACTCATGTTCACCCGTTGAACTGATTTGATTAGAAAATGAGTTTGATTAGGTGATGCTGTGACCCGAGACACATAGTCTCATGTTGAACTGACCCACACTTAGAGATAGCGCAGTCATCATTAAAACCTTGAGTTGAGCTTATGTAGTTGGTACACTGCCCCCAAATTAACACTTTAAAAATGTCAGAATGTCATTGCATTAAATGTCAATACGACGTTTACTGAAAGAAAGATATTTCTCAACACAAAAGGTTTTGGATATGACAATGTTAATGTGTTTGGAATTGGTGGAACTTGGCTGTTTACACGACACGGTTTTCAACTAAAACCGTAAAACATTTTATGCTTTTTGGCCGTTCGTTTACACGACAACGGCGTTTTGGGTGCCTGAAAAGGCAAACTTTTGAAAACGGGTTTCAAAGTGCAAGTTTTAAAAAAAACCTGTGTCCGTGTAAACAACAAAAACGCAAATCTCTGAAGATGATGACGTCACGCACATGCGTATTACGTGTTCAGTCTATAGTGTTGCATTGCCATCTAGTGGCCTGGCAGCAGAATACAGGGTTTTTAGTCGTTTTGATAACTCAAAGGAAGAACCTCTCTGTTTTAAGCATATCGTTGTCGTGTAAATGTACCCTAGATCTCCAGAGGTACCGTCCTGCAGAGTTTAGCTCCAACCCCAATCACAACACACCTGAACCAGATAATCAAGGTGTTCAGGGTTACTCTAAAATTTCGGGCAGGTGTGTTGGGAGTAGGGTTGAAACTGATGGTAGCTCTCGAGGAGCAGGGTTGGAGACCCTTGCCATAGCAGATCTAGACCGAGGGTTTCAGAGGAACTCTGATGGACTAGCTTACAGCAAACAATGACCCAGACTATTTTGATGTTGAGGAAGCAATCTCATTGGCTGCTAAATCAAATCTTCAGAGGCCGATCAGCTTGTGCATGCAGTAAAAAGGACCTATCAGCCTGCACTATCTAGAGCAGGGGTGTCAAACTCACTTCCTGGAGGGCCACTGTCCTACAGAGTTTAGCACCAACTCTAATTAAACACACCTGAACCCGCTAATGAAGGTCTTCAGGATTACTAGAACCTTCCAGCCAGGTGTTTTAGAGCTGGTTGGAGCTAAACTCTGCAGGACAGTGGCCCTCTGTTACCCCTTTTCCACCAAAGCATTTTGAGAGCCGGTTCGGAGCCCGTGCCTACTCGAGAACCAGTTCTTTGTGTTTCGACAGCCAAAGAACCGGTTCTCGGCCAGAAAAATCGGTTCCAAAGCGGCACCAACTCTTTGCTGGACTAGAACCGTTCTTTTACCACGTCATGCTTACGTCGGGGGCTGGGGGCGGGTTACTGTGAACAACAACAGGTAGGACGTATGGCGACATACACAGTGACGTAACGACGTCGTTCGCTGGGGTCTCTAGTCAGTGGAAAAACAAACAGGTTCTGAGAAGGTTCGCAAGTTGAACCAGTTCTTTTTTGGTGGAAACGAGGTATGTGGGAACTACATGAATACTATACAGCCACTAAAAACTGATGAAAGAAATGAAGAAAAGTGAAGTTCCTGCAGCACAAGATGACACGCGTGTTTATACAATGCAGTGACATTCCGACTTTTTATGTGACTTGAGAGTTTAGATACGTTCTGTCCGTATCCCAACAACCTTGTCAAAAACAAGTTAGTGTCAGTGTTTCCATTCCCATTCACTTCAGAAGCTGATATAAAGTTCTAGTACTTAATCCAGTAAAAACTCAAGCTGCTTTGCCCAGTTGACCACCAGCATGTCCAGAAGATCTGAACTCAGCGACTGACGTTGTTTTATTATGTCCCTCCTGCATCAGATCTGAGAAACCAGCCGTACAGGCGCGCTGACGCCGTCAGGAGGAGCGTTCGAAGACGATTTGATGATCAGAATTTGCGGCCAATCAACAGTGCAGAGATGGTCATGTGACGAGGGCAAAGGGGATGTGATTGGATGGGCTGGAGGAGTGGAGGTGGAGCTAACTGCTCCCGAACAAAATAATGAAGGACTGATGAAGATGACAGCAGGTCTGAAAGTCAAGTGCCTATATTTAACATCTGTCCCATCAGGTGTTGAATCATACATGTGTTTTAGTCATAGTCTTCTGTCTGTGATTTATTTTTATATGACAAACAGTGTCTTTTATCCTATGGCGCTTAAAATGTAGATGGCGAGATCGTGTTTTTCTCAAGAAAGTGTCAGAATGTAAAACTGTTCCAACACTTTATGTATCATGAACCTGTACAAAGGCCTCTTACATTCCAGTGCTTTCGCCCCAGATCAAAATCGACCAATCGTGTGTTCTCTGAATGACTAATCTATTAGTCGGTCTTAAAGAAGCCCTGCATTGGGTCCGTCAGACCCTGTTTTTTATCGGGCTGGTCACATGGTGCACATTCTTGTCTTTAAAGAAAAACGGAAGGAGCCCAATAGGTTGGAATGCAGCTTGAGAAGCATTTTGAAAAGTTTAACTACGTTAAATGTTGTAAAAATGCAATGTCGATTGGCTTGATATGGTGCATTATCTGTGACTCAACGGTCAAAGATAATAACAAGAACATTTCTCACAGAAGGTGGTTTGAAGTCCAGTAGTTAAGTATTTAAATGTGTTGTTGATGAATTTGTTACATAAATGGTGCTATAAAGGATGAATTTGGAGACGTGGCTTCTGAAAGAGGGTTTTACCGTGCCGACAGAGTGTTAGCGGACTAAAATCCTCTCAGAGAGGTCGCATCTCTTAATAGAGTCTTGCAGGGATGACCTATTTTTGTAGGCCAAAACCAAGAAACGAGTTAGCATTTTAACGCTTCTGGTTCCATCACCCTTACGGAACCGGAAGACATTTTTGACATTTTACTCGACATAAAACGCATCAGTTTTTAAAAACTGTTACTTGTCTTGAAAAAGACGCTTGATATGGCTAACTGGGACTGAAGAGTTTGTCAAGGGCGAACAGGTAAACTCATCTACTCGCTAGTCCGCTTTTACGGCCTCACTGTATCTTATACTCATGCAAGCTGTTCTAACGTTCAGGGAAAATGTTTTTAAATAAAAACTGAAAGAGTTGATAGTCATGTGACTATAGTGAAGTTTGTTTACGTTTAGTTTTTTACTTCTTACAATCGTATTTAGGCTTCAAAAGTAATTTGTGTAGATGAAAGAAACGTGAAAGAATCAAGCTATTGTTGGTTACAGAGCTTATTTTCTGCAATAATACTAAAGTCAATGGAAAAATCCTGTTGGCTTTTTATCAAGGGAACCATGCTAACTTCCGGGTTGGCCTACAAAAATACATCATCACTGCAGCACCCTTTCATCCACTTTAAAGCACCACAACTAAAATATATGATGGGCCTGTCCCAATACCCTCTCTTGTGGTCTTGGCTACTTGATAGTGCGTGCATGGTAGCATAGTAAGAGCACAAGGGACTGTCCCAGGTCGAAAAATGGCAACGCTCAGTGTCCTTTACACACACTAAATCCACACTCTCTTTAAGTTTATGTTCAGGAACTCGCAGAACTTGAGATGTCAGGAAAAAAACGTTCCATTGTAAGTTAAATTAATTCGATTTTACATATAATTTGGTAGTAAAGTACTGAAAAAAGTGTGTCCCATCAAGTAATCAAAAGTTCTACACACACTTGCAATCTTCACGCCCACTTGAACACTTGGGCCAAATGCGGGAAATACGTCATTCAAGTAAACAAGTGGCAAGTGCAAAGATCACGTGCGGGTATTGGAACAGGCCCTTTAAAAATCTCTATAAACATTGACTAGTCAGTCGTCTGTTGGACTGATCGACCACCCTGATCCAAGCCTGATCAGAAGAGTCGATCCCAGTGATGGTGGGGTTACTGTGAGCTCAGGTGCGCAGATGGAGAGAGAGTCCAGTTAAGTAGGAGGTGGTGTCAGGAAAGGCTTTTTTTTTTTTAGAAAGGATTAATGCAACAAAGGCAAATGTGAAATAGAAGCCAGAGGCTCTAGAACTCCAGCGCCTCACATTCACAAGTCTGAATTAAAATGCTGCTCAAGCAATACTGCTTTTAGGCTTTGGTCCTTAAACTGAGGGTTGGTTAACGATATAAACCAAAGTGCAGAAGTAAAATTTAAGAACTTCATCGGCCTTTAAGAAAATTCTGGGAAGAGACTTCGGTAACGCTTCCTTTTACAGTACAGTACTTACGTGTACTTACAGTGTACTTACCTAGAAAGTACTGGCTAATATAAGGTAAGTACATGGGTTAGGGGTAGGTTCAGGGTTAGTACCTAGTTATTACCCAGTAATTGTAATTACTATAATAAGTACATAGTATGTACATGGGTAACAGGACTGTAAAAGGAAGCGTTACCGAGACTTCAGCATTTTCAGCAAGTTCATTTTATTGACTAATTACTGTTCCATGTTCTATACTGGTAAACTAACCAACTTCTCTCTCAGTTTGTAAAAACAAGCAGAAATCTTGTTTACAATAATGCATTTAAAAGGGCAGTTTATATGGGGCATATAACTTTCCACAGGAGTACATCTAAAAAATAAAGTAAAACCTCAAGATTAACATTACACGCTAACTTGACTACTGTAATAGAATCAGTTACAATCTTGTCTGTTAAAACCAATCTTACAACTAGCTATACAACACTTAAGAGAGCATCAGTCAGTGTCCAAATCATTCACTTGAGAACGGCGATCGGCAAGAAAGGCTTCGATTTCCAAATACCTGCAGTACTGCGACTCTGCCACAGGGTAAAGTGCGTAGGCCTACGTCTGCTTAGACCTTGACATGGTGCTAAACACTTTTCAACATCAAAGAGCGTTTTTAGATTTTAGCCTTGATGAGCTGGATCCGGTGCGTTTAATTAGGGTTAAACTAAACTCTCCAGGAACTGAGGTTTGCACCCCTAAAAATTTTAAATTAAAAAAAGTTTTAATAAAAATATGAGCTTTACAGTACGCCTGCTTTTAAACACTATTACACTTGCCCCATAGAAGTGCATTACTGTAAATGGAATCTTGTTTTATTCACAGAGGGTTAAATATATTGTCTGTGGTAATCGACAGCTTACCGTTACTGTACATCCACATTGTTTTGAACACAGAATATTCCTTAATACGGTTTAAGCACATGCCACTTCTTGCTGCATTAAACTGTCCGGCCGCTGAGCACTACAGCAAACCTTCCCTGCGGCACTCGTTCTTCACTACGCAAGATCAGGTTCCTCAGAGAATTCAGTTGCTGTAACTGGACTTGATTCTTGTTCTTGGTCAGATCATGGGAAATAAGGCCTGGTATATAAACTGAATGCTGTGTGGTTCAATAATGACCTGCACAATTGAAAATTCAAGTTTCTTGTGATGTGTAATTCTATTTAAAAGCAAAAATATAAATAAATAAAAAAAAAGCATTTGTTAAATGTACAGATATTTTGCTACAAAATTGTTGAATCTTTTTAACTTTTTAATCTTCTAATATTGTACATATTGTTTAAAAAACAAACAAAAAAATCATTCTGTACTACAGCATTGAATATTTTAACTTATAGTTCTCTTTTTTTCCTGCATTTTTGTTTATTTAATAAAACTGAAAACCTGAATCAGGCCTTTTAGACGTGGCAACAGCTCAGCGTTATGCTAAGAAACTAGATTGTCACTTCCACACTAAAACATAAGAAACCAGATTCAGTAGCAGTATTATAGCCATTATAGACTTCTGTCTCATCTCTCTGCATTCCATTCATAAAAACTGGATTAAACTGGCAAGATTTTTGTTTTTTAAATCACTGTATCTTAGGCATTGTATGCTTACTGCAACAAAAAAAAAAAGAAGATCTGTTCTCGGATTTAAAATTACATGATGTCCAATTAAACTATTTACACAATGCTGGTCTTCTGTGTTGTTCTTGAGAGTGAACATGTGGGATGTTCAGGCAGCACTGCAAAGATGGCAGATCATGTCAGTGTCTCTTCATAGAAAGATATTGAGACTTGAACCCTGAAAAGTGCTATATAAATGTAACAAATTATTATTATTGAGGCCTGATTTTGTGGCTTCCAAAGCAAGTTTAAGCCTCAAGGTGGTGGATTGGTTATTACTTCTCATCACCATGGTAACTTCCACTACACTACTCTGGACTGGAGGCAGTTTAATTCTGGGTAAGCGATCACAAACCGAAAACAGGCCAATCAGCTGTGAGCAAAGTAAATGAAACTAGTTCGCAGTGAAAGAATTTTGGAAAAATCACCCAGCTTTTAAAATCACTATGCTTACTGTAATTTTGTGCTTGTGAACCTATATAAATTCTCTCTATAATTTATAATTGAATACATTCATATAGGCTGTATTAAGTACCTATATATATTCATTTATTTAATATTAAAGTCCCAGTGAACCGGAAGTTGCAAACGACTTTTCTCCAGTGTTGTGACGTATTTCCGAGAGAAACGGAATACTAAATGAGGCAAAATAGTGGGCGTGGCTTTTTTTCCAACTAGCACCTGATTGGATCTAGAAAAGTAGGTGTTTTCATTCACCGTCTACTGTCAGATGGAGGGGCGTGATTACAGATGTTAAGAAGACGCCCAAACCGTCAAACCTACGTCATCGGGCAAGGTCCTCCAATGCAGAGGGGAGGGGAAATTTCAGATTTTGATTAAAGATTACGAAGCCAAAAAAAATGTTTGTGTGGATTGACTTGCATGGATGAATTGTTCACCACAAAACGATCAATTTAGGCAAACAAAGTAAGTATGGTCAATTTTTAATTCATGGGGACTTTAAATAAATTCAGTTGATTCACTAGCATTGATATTGTCAGATATTTTCTTTGCCTAATAAAACTTAAGTGGCAGTTTCATGGTGTTTATTCCTCTATTTCCTTGTAAATGTTTAATTCATAAAATTTTTTAAGTGTTTTGGGGGCCTGAAAATGCAAACTTTTGAAAAAGGGTTTCAAAGTGCACATTTATGAAAACGATACAGTTATTGTCTCTGTGTAAACTACGAAAATGCAAACCGTGTTCATTGGTGCGGTGTTTCTTTACAAAGTGATATCGCCAACTACTGGCCTGGCAGCAGAATACAGCATTTTTAGTATGTTTCACGGATCTGTGTGAATGGGGAGCGTTGTGACAACGTTGTCATCTGTACGCAAGCAAAAAAAAGGAACATTTTCAGTTTTTAGTACATCGTTGTCATGTACACATACCCTTAATCTTCAAAGTGAATTACACAGAATCTCACAAAACTGTAAACTGTTTCATTAGTAGCAAATGTTTTACGACTCATTTGGTTGGATTTATCAACTTTAAACCTACTCTGAAATTGTTCAACTATAGCTTTGTGCAAACTAGGACATCTGAAATTACAGAAGGGATGCTTCATGCTTTTGCTCAAGTTGAGTACATTAAAGAACAAGGCGAAAAAATAAAAAAAATCATCATTTTTAAAGTTTATTTGTCAAAATTCAAGTTGAAAACAATGCTGCAGACAATTCTTTCACACTGATAACATTGTTTTCCCAAAATGGCTTTCACAGACAATCTTACAGATTCATCTGAAGTTGAATAATAGGCGTTTTTATGCAGGCTTGGTCATTTTTCCATTTTATCAGCAATGTTTAAAACTATTGGCATTAACAAATATACAACTACCTAAAAAAGGTTCTGCAGTTAAAGGCAACTTAACACTTGCAAC